AAAGCTCCACGGGTGGTTCATTAATCAAGAAACTGAAAAAGGAAAATTTTCATCTTCGTCATCACTACTAGATAAGTGATTATTGTGAAATTTTTTTTGTACCTTTGGATAGAAATGAAAAGCCGAAATAACGAGTAGGAGCAATTTAAATGCCATTGCGACCGTTTACCCACGCACCGGCGAGGCACAGGATGTGATCACGTCACTCGCTGTGGGAAATCAGGTGCTATGCCAAGCCTTGTTCACGACGTTGAGAATTCCTTCTCCTGCTTCACAATGGCGCTAGAAATATGGTGAAGGAACATGAAGTTCATGGTGGAGAAATAGAGCACTGCTGATATTACATGTAGAATATCGATAAGATTCTTTTAGAACAGCATCCAACTCTGTGAAATTTTAATTTTTCCCACAATTTCTTGAAGTGACAAAAGCAATTTAAGTTGCTAAATTTAATTGTGTGTCACTGGTTTATGATAATCATCGACAATCTAATAATAATCGAATCATCGCCCTTATTGGTATGAATAGAACACCAACTACACAGCAGAGGTAAGAGAAACTTGGTAAAGCTCTGAGATAACTTTTAAAGATAAATGAGGTAAGTTTTCGGGCGCGTGAACGTCCCGGACCGACAAGTGCGTGTCTTAAAATGGAAGGAAAAGAAGTGCTTCTGAAGCGGACGAGTCCAAGCCGCTCAGCTGGATATGGTGGTCAAAAGCAATCAAATCTTTTATGTCAGCAACATAACATGACACACATCAAGTTCTGAGCAGGTAGGATATTTTCATGGGCCAAGAACCAGAGCTCCCATATTTAGAAAAAAAGTAACTACTATTGAGCTAGCGCTGTATCCATTTAAATCAAATTTCAACATATTTCCTTTTCAACATAAACGGGAAAACAACTCTTATTCTTTAATAGTGACTTGTAAAGGTGGAGTAAACGCGCAAGAAGACAAAATAAACTTTATTCTAGAGTAAATTTATGCGCAGTCATGCCTGCCCTGTTAGCTCGATGCTTTTGAATTAGTGTTTTGGAGCCATTCTGCTGTGGCTGCTTTGAAGGCACCGTTCCCCAACTCCAGACTAACAAGAACAGCAAACTAGAGGAAGCATTCAAAGCGGTGCAGGTAAAAGACATCTCGACACTGGCGAAGACGGAGCGCGTCTCTTCTTAAAGAAAACAATGGCACCTCGACCAGTGCGCTCTAATGGATGGCAAAAGACCCAAGAAACACCGCAGCCTCCCTAATTTTCAACTTAGGTTCGCCGGTCGACAGGTGGAACGCATCGTAAATGATGGTCGTCTGAGAATTGCTCACGACGAATGAAGGTGCCGAGAGGGACATTTTTAGTCGACCGGATGAAATTGACACTTTATGTGTTCATGTTTTCGAGCACGAACACAACGGAGATGACACTCCTCCGTCTATAACTTATCGAACGGAAATTTTGATTAGTGATTTGGAAATTAAATTCTGCTGTGTAGATGTTCTTTTTTCATTTTGACTTCCCGTGTGCGAAGCTAGAATTTCATCATGGTTACAATGAAAGATATGCAAGTATCGTGACTGAATAATTTACTTTAATGATAAGATGAATAATCGTGATAAACAACCAGTGCGTGGAGAGCTAACGGAACAGAAATTATCATTATAGATCTCTTGGGGTTCAATTTAACCCTCTACCGCTGTATGTCACTCTCCGGGAATATAACTTTCAAATTAAATTATACGTAAACTATTGAGTGTAACAACCTGAGGACGTTTGTACGCAACAGAAAACAATTTGAAGTTGTCGTACGCGGCGGCAATCATCAGTGCAAGTCATTTTGCGCTCACTAGCTATATATCCTTTTTGGGTAGGCTTGTGACAATATTGCTCCGGTTACTTATGTCAGGCGGTAAGGGGGCGTTAAATTTTACACTATAAAAACTATAATTTGTTTCGTTCACGTTGAAATTATCAATGATAAAAAAAATTAATTTCGATCGCATTCATATCGAATTCAATGCAATCATACAAATCAAACGGATAAAACTTTAGCAGTGAATGTTTGTTTAGTAAAATTTTTCAAGAAAGGTGGTAAACTAAAATAATTCTCGTTTCAAGATAATAGATGTATATTGATGTTTGGTTTCATTAAAAAAATCAAGGCAAGCTCTCCTCTATTCACTTCAATTATCGATCAACTAGCCTAGAGAAGCCTACGGGTAGAGTTCAAGACTCGGGACTTCATATCTTTCAGGTCGTATTTTTCGTGCCCCACCTAAACCGACTAAAATACGACCAATTTTCGCCAAAGCTGATCATTTCATCTCTAGGCTCCACAGTCGTTGTTTTGGTTCTGTCCTATCACTTAATTGAAGCGGTCTCTTCAAGCCTAGGAATAACGAGATCAGCGATAAAGCGCAGACGGTTTTTTACGCAAAGCCCGGTCAATAAGTTGCGCTCTTCATGCGGCGCTCTGTATAAGTGAGCAACCGCTCGCAAAAATGACCACTGATGTTTGCGTGCTCGGAGGTACGAGCAAGCGGAACGCTCTCGGACCATATACGTCTGAGGTTTCATTAGTTTCCAGCTGCGCCCCTTCGTGAACACGAATACTAAAGGCTGCACAAGGGCCCCCGGTCGCAGAGGGGTCGCCCTGGGGCATCGAGTTGGAGTAAAACACGACTAGATTGAGGCACAGGCGTCTTTGGCCGGCGCTCTAGGTCAGAAACGTGAGCACTTTAGCTCTAGGAACTATAGGGGCATCTGGCAACGAGCGTGGGTGGTTCCTCTTCTCTATCCCTACATTTGCATGCCGCTTTGATGGTATCTGCGCTTTAGACATGACCTGCACGATCAGCATCTCTGCAGCGTTTGATACGCTAACTTTGAGAGTGTACACGGCTGCCACTAATTCAATCTCATGAGTCTGCAGCTGCCGAAATATCTGAAAAAAATATAAAAGATATCACGTTTTTAGTGTGGGTAAGCAAGCTCCATTATATACGAAGAGCCGCCAATTGCTTGTTTGCTCAAATAGTAATTTAAACAAACTTAAACAGACCACTTAATAGCAATTTGAACAGACAACTGCACAATTGTCATTAAACAATTTTTAGCACGAATAAAAACTCAAAAAAGTTTTTACAAGAAACGATGGTACAAAAGGTTTCTTTAAATTCTAAGATATATTTTCTCGATTCTGTAACTAAGTTTATAAAGAATCTTGAAGATTCAAACATGTAACATGAAAAAAATCAAGTGTTACTTTAGGTGGTATTATATTCAGTAGGTATTATATTCCGTTACAATTAAATTGGTTGCAATAGTAGCCTAAGATACATGTATTTGTATACATATTACATAATTTAAAGGGAAGCAGTACAAAAAAGCATCATGACATCAATAAAAAAAACAATAAATACCTCCATTTCCACCTCTCAAAATGACCTCCAGATGTAATACACGACCAACAGTCCAACACGCATCGCTGACAGCCGTGATGACGACCCAGCGAAATTTGAGATCTCACGTAAAATGGTCACTTATCGCCACGCCATCTTTTCGGATCGTCGAAGGCCACATTATGTTCGCTCAGAAGGAGAAACTCGAAGCTCGAGTTACCTACCTTCTTCGCGATGTCGTCCGTAATCCAATAGTCTTGGTAATCCCATCTTATGGGCTATAAGCTGCCTATAACGCGCATGCCAAGGCAGCCTGAGACGTGCACAACATTGTCTGCTGACTTTGGCACCGGAATGGGACTCACGACCTAGAACTAATGCGCCGATTTTTTTACAATTTTACACCTGAAACAAATCTTCTCGTGAACTAAAAAGATTAGCCGTCGATTTATGTTTGTGATTGTGCGACTTTGCCTCCAGAAAGAAGCGTTTCCATTTGAAGAAATTTTTATACAACAAATTTTTGACTTTCTATGCATCAATCTAACGCGGATATATGCGCTTATCTAACAGTACTTAACAAGATCACTTATTTTCCCTCATTGATAACGAACGTTCCGCACCGGCGATTTTATCGTATAAATGATTCACGGCGTCCACATGATTCAGGAGCCGTTTTTGTGACTCAAAAATAGTTATCAACAACTGCGAAGGATAAAATTATTCGTTCGAATCGTCTTTAATCGTTTCCAAAGGTTACTCAGACAGATTTTTTCTGGAAACTATGAAGCTAATATCACAAAGAAGTCTTCGCGTTGATTCCACTTGACCAAGTCTGGTGAAATTCTATCTGTCGTAGTCGAACGAAAAAATTCTAACCCCAAGGCTAGGAAAAATCCTAACGTAGAAAGACGAAGTACAAACTCGGTGGATCGGATAGCTTCTCCACTTCCTCATTCACACAGTCCCCATTAATTACCAAGGCAAACAAATAGCAGCGCGGGCAAAGAGCCAGTGTCAACCAGCGCACCTTGCGACCGAGACGGACGGACGAAAACTCCTTTCTGTATTGACAAATTCTTGCCTATAAAAAGACGGCGGCCTAGAAGCGTCTACGCCCTGAATAGCGATGATGTTTTGTTGCAGAAATGATGGTTTGTGTTGAAGGATAGAAAATATTTTTGATTATGGGAAATTATTAGAGCTAAATTTTAGCAATGATCTTCGGTTATAGGAAATGGTCGTTATTGCTAGAGAATGGCAATGAAATTTTTGCCGCAGAAAATTATCGTTTGAGAGGAAGAATAGCCAAGATCTTTTTCGTGCTACAGAATGACAGATTCCAGACCAATTTAAAATAATTGATCAAATTCTATTCAAGTGAAAGTAGCAATCTTCAATGCATTTTCACAAACATTTGTGAATAAATTACTTAATAAAGTACTTTCACAAGAATTTTTCAATAGAAGAAATGAATACCATGAGTGGACATCTATAAATGTCATACAAAAAACGACTCCGGTAATACCTATATATTCATTACCAGCCGCACCCTAACGCCTCATGCAAACAATCGAGGATGTGAATTCGGAAAATAATAAGAAAATGGTCTCAGTAGCAGTTTTTGCTATCATCTTGCATTTCATTACATGAATATCCCTTCATCACAATGAAAATAACATGTTGCACAACGAGCAGGGTTGCCGAAGTCAGGGCATCGTGGGGTTGCATTCGACGTTCGTCAAAGTGAACAAAATAGAGCAGAATGGCTGTTGCGTACATAATGAATCATTCCCAGTAAAAAAAATCATTCTTGGAGATAATGTTTAAGAATTGAAACGTAATTTGGCAGAAAGAGATATCAGTACCGTATAGCGGTATCTTGTTGCCAATTGAGAATAAACGCGAGTATAGCAAAATTAGGCAATATTGTCATTGGTTTCAGAAACAAGACAACAGTGAACTTGGTCCGTGTAGCAGTTCAACCAAAAGACAAAGAAATATTCAACTGAAGAAGGAAACATTGTAGTGCGAAATATAGCACTTCATAACTTATTTGAGTTGCAGGCTGTGATCAGCTCTAAGCTGTGAAATTTCATAAATTGAACAAACTAAACCAAAGTACGTACACCACTAATAATTTATGACCATCATAAGACAGTTCTTTAGCCTTCCTGATCGTCGATGTAAACAGAAGCAAGTCTTCTTTTTTTCGCGTTACTTAAATTCAACCTAATTTAACTATTAGTTCATTCACTTCATTCTGCTTGGTGGTTCTGCTCTCTTATTTTATGAGCTCTTTGCTGTTCGGCCTTCTCTTTTTGCTGCCTGAGGAAGCTTTGGAATGATTCAATCTCCTTGGTTTCCTCGATATCATCGGCGTCTAGTTCTTCATCTTCGCTCCCAGAGTCCGACTGGTAATTGTTGACCAGCATTTCTGTCTCGTTTCTGGAAATAAAATAAAAGGTGCAGGGCAAGGTACTACGAAAATACTGTAAATTAGAATGCTATCAAAGTGGAAAAAGGCAAAAACTTAAAGTTTATTATACAATAATTTACATGTCAAACGTACAGAATAAAATGTCACAAATTTTTAGCCTGCTTGAGCATAACGTAACTTTGACATTTGATTTTTATCTTACAGCAAGTTTGGTACCTATTTCAGAACAAACAGTGGAACTAAAAATTGGTATAATAGATGGCTGAATGAACGGTAAAAAAAGTTTTACTTGCTTCCATCAAATTACGATTGATAATAAAATTACTCACTACTATGGGTACGGTACTTCAGCTGGAAAAGTTTAGTTATTTATTATTTGCTCATAGCTTGCTAAGATATGAACTTTGGTAGGGAAGATTTCAAGGTTCAATTCAAATCACTTCAATGGAAGCCCTATGGGTTTTCCTTAGTAACGTATCTTTAACAATTGTATTAGCTTTTAAATCTTTATTCATCTTACCTGATCGCATCTCGGACAACGCTGATGGGTTCTTTACCGTCAGCTGTAATATCAGCCTTAAACTTGTCCATACTTTTCTTCTTCTCTTCTTCTCTCCTCTTCGATGACTCTTCTTTGAGGTGCTCATACTCTGCTCGATATTCTTCATACTCAATGGCACCCTCTGCTAGCTTCTCCACCAAGTCAGCCATACCCTTTAGATAGATTGGTAAAATAAGCAAGGACTGCTAACTAGATGATGCCCACGGGAAGTTGATAGACATGAATCAACAAAATTATATTTTTGCTTTGACACAAGAAAAAAATTACACTAGAAGAAAGTAAGAGAAAAATCTTGTCATCAAGAATATACCTTCTCTTTGAAATTGAATATTAGGCATAAAAATCTGCTGTAAGTAAAAGTAATTTGATAGTTGAGAAACAATAGATCTCAAATTTATTTTAAGATTTGGCATAAAAAGATACATAAAAAAATTCATGTCATGGGCTATATTTTACACTAGTCATCAAGTTACATGGTATCTAGTAAGCATTTTAATTATTCATGAACGTTTATTACAATTACATTTAGCAACCCACCTCTCCAGTGAAAGAGGACACTCCACAAGCCTTGATGTTGCAATAGAATTCTTCAAGGGCGAGTGACATGGAGCGGGTAAGGTTGGAGGAAAACGTGCTTTCTTCAGCCAGTACATCTTGGAACACTTCAAAGTCTTGCATCCATTCAAATGCAAACTTGCAGTCAGTTATGTCTATCTTATTGAATGCAATGATGAATGGAAGCTTGTACTTGTAAAGAATCGAACAAGCATACAGCATGTTGGCCATAAACGTTTGAGTGTTATTTGATCTAACAGTGTCAACTACATAAAGAATTACTGTTGGATAAACAGATGCAAGAGCCCCAGCAATGATGGGGCCAGAAGCAGACCAGTTGAAAACTTCTATTTGACCAGGTGTATCAAAAATAATATAATCCAAATGGTCTTCTTTCTTGGCTATTAATTTCAAAACGTCATCAAACATGGTAGAGAATAAATTTAGAGATGTGACAATGCCTCCATTTGGTCCCAAGCCATACTGTTTCATAACTTCTTTGTAATTGACTGTATCTCTAATGTCAATGTAAGGCATGAATGGCACACTCTTGACAGCAGGGTCGAGATTTATAGTATGAAATGGCTTCCTAGCACTGGCTAAATATGTACTGAGTCTTCTTACAACACTAGTTTTTCCTGAACCTGCCATTCCAAGCACAAGAACACACAAAGGTTGTTTTTTTATTGCAGTCTTGGCAAAGCTTGATGAAGGGATGCTATCAGCAGCATCTGCTTTAGGCTTGGCTCCAGAAGCATTTTCATCCACAGATGATGAGGCCATTCCTTCAACAATACTTTTCAGAGCTTCATTATCTGGAACATCAACTGCAGAACCAGTAGATTGTGATGAATCAACATCCATTTTGCTTAGCTGAATTGCATCTCCTTCAGGTGGAAGGCTCATACTTGTAGCAGGGCTTGGTGGTAGAAGCAATTCTGAAAAATAGAATTTTAGAAATATTATGAAAGAGAAAATTAAGTGTTCAGTAATTTAGTAAAAAAGTCTCATAAATAAACTTTCCAATGCATTTTAGATGCTTTCAATTTGAAATGGTTAACAAAGATCAATCTTCAGACAAAAAAATGAGCCAAGTTTAAATCAGATTGAGCACTTAGCAACAGGGTAGCAAAAAATCCAGGCTTTTTTAATTGCCCAACCCACTTGGGTTATATTAAAAAACCCAGGCTTTTTGTGAAAAAAAAAAAAACAGGATGAAATGGGCAATAAAATTCTTCACTCATTTCATTTATACCCACATTGCTTAAAGTCCTTTTCAGCTATGTTGATTATTACAAATTTTATGCTGGCTTGTCAAGTATCAACCTTTATTACATTTGCCATAGCTTTAATCAAATAATGGTAAATTTTTAAACAGTGAGCCAGTGATGCATTATTAATTTGTATTACTGTCAATTGGGGCTACTCCGGACGATTTCTAATGTTTTTCATTCATAACTTCTTACCATAAAACATTTCATAAACAAGTTTAGGCTCATTTCAAAGCTCTTTGCAAGGGCTATCACATGGCTTCTCCAAAAAAATTCCATATGCTATTTGTAAGGTGCCAGAAGCAAAAAAAGAGTGTCCCGAGTAGCCCTGTTGAATGGGGCTATTCGGGACACTTAGAATAAAACTTCATTTTAAAATATTTTAAGCATGCAGAGTGTACTCATCTAATACTAACAGTACTCTGAAGTCCTCCTCTTTCATTGTAGATGATGTAGAAGTAGGATAAATGACATTTCCTGCGATTTTTACTCATTTTTCCTCTATTAATATGATATTACCATATACATTAATTACTGTATTATTGATGCAATATTACCATATCCATGAACACGCCATTGAGCATTTACAACAACCTTGTCCACTGCAAGCTTCATATCAGCAACCGTATAGCATTTTTTCTGTATCTGTAAGCTTACAGGATGGCTTGTAATTTCATACCATTTTAATTGGGTTAAGTGAATTTACTATAAAAAAAGATCATGAAAAACATACCTGAAACAGAAAATAATGTTTTAGTGACAACCATCATATGTTTTGGAGAAATAAATCATAGTTTAGGTCAATTACTTTTCATTCTATGATGCCTGGTGCACAATTCTATATATGACATTCTATGCACAATTTTGTGATAACTGATGATGCACTAATTTTTCGATAAGTGATTTTTTTCGCTGAACGAGGTAAATGTAATCAATATTCTTTGTTTTTAATCAATTTTTTTCTTAACTGGAGCCTTTGCTAACTGAGGTTCTACTGTAAATGCCGTTTTTGGGGGTGTCCCAAATAGCCCCAGGGGGGTGTCCCGAGTAGCCCTGCCGTGCGGAAATGGCCGCCATTTTTTTTGGATTGAGGTATGTAAATTCTGCAAATAAAGTTTTCATGCTGACACTTGTCTGCCACTTCTTTCTAAGCAAAATTTTTAAATACCGTACGGCAAATATTTTTTTACTACAGACCTTAGCAGAAGTATAACTTTTCAAAATATCGTTTCTCACCATTCTTTCAGGAATTTTTCAAAGCTAGTAAATGTAGTGTTTTTGAACTTCCTTTATCTTACATAGATAGGAAAAATGTTGATGTTTACGCCACTATATAGTATATTTAGTTTTGCAATATTCCAATTAGTTTTGCAACTAAAACAGTTTTACGTCATGTCGGCGGTATGGTGGCAGAGGAGAGAGTTCTTTAGACTCTTCATAAAGTTCATTTTTGAGTCTTATAAGTAGACCAGTAAAGTATCCAGGATACCAGCATTATCATACATAAGAAATTGGTGTAAATCTCGGGTAAATGAGGAAATTGAAAATGAACCAATTCTAAAAAATCTCTGGTTTGTCAATTGTCACTATGGTCGGAGGACTGTCCCGACTCCCAATTTACCCCGCCTGTCCTGAGTAGCCCCGGTTGACTCACTTGATGCCTGACGGTATACTTAAAGGATTCCTAATATATTCACAGACTTATTTAAAAGTCTCAAACCATAATATTCTTTCTACACAAAGTTTATCACTATATACTATAGTAGAGCAAGGTCAACTATCAACTTTGACACGTGTTTTGATGTCCTCAGTAACTTCTCACTAGCTAGTTGACTTGGACTTTTGCTTTGAGGATCTTAACATTTTCCCACCAGCATAGTGGCAAACCAGAGCTTTATTTTTGGAATCAGTTCATTTTTAATTTCCCCAAAACTTGAGATTTGAACCAATTTCTTAAGCATGATAATGCTGGTATCCATGATACCATAGTGACAAACCAGAAATTTTTTAGAATCAATTCATTTTCAATCTCCTCATTTACTCAAGATATTAACCAATTTCTTATGTATGATAATGCTGGTATCCATGATACTAGTTAACTGGTCTACTTATAGGACTCAAAAATGAACTTGAGGGAGAGTCTAAAAAACTCTCTGCTTTGCCACTATGCATGATACTTTACTGGTCTACTTATAGGACTCAAAAATGAACTTGAGGGAGAGTCTAAAAAACTCTCTGCTTTGCCACTATGCTTTACTTGTCTACTTATAGGACTCAAAAATGAACTTGAGGGAGAGTCTAAAAAGCTCTCTGCTTTGCCACTATGCCCCACTGTGCAGAGAGTGAACAAAGATTTAAAGACCTATGGCAATGCATTATCGGCAAAATTTTTGCCTTCAGAAGATCTTGCCGACACATTTAGATTGAAATTCTTGCATTTAATATATTTCTCAGTCTTCAGCCAACTATTTAGAAAAAAAGTAAGGTTTCCGGTACGTTGGATGGATTACGATGCAGCAAAGCTTGTCCGGAAATCAGTTGCGATGAGTTCCCGCAAAAAATGTAAACAACATTTTTTCGATTGCATAGTTTCGGTCGCATTAGAGCACTGAGCAGTCAGACTGCTTTATTACTTGTTCAGTTGACACTTGCTGTACAACCGGACTGTTTTTAGGGTAAAATTAGTTATTTGGGGTAACACGTGCATGCAACCTTGTAATAAGTTCGTGGCTTGTAAATAGTTTGTCATTACTCAGCGTAAATGGCTTTTCATTAAAAATTACCCGGCGACGCATCTTTAAAATGGCCGGCGACGCTTTGGGCTTAAAAATCCATATATTGCCGACGCTGCATCCACGGTCCACCCTCTGCATAGTGGACTATGGCACTATGCCCACCACTCACCAGACCTAGTGTTTTGCAGGAATCTGGCGCGCAATAATATGACGTCACTACTCACTATTTCAACTATCTACGCATCATTAGCAGAACTTCAGAAGTACTTCTTCAAAAGTTCAAACAAATCACTGTTCAAAATTTATTTTCAGGGATTTTTTGGAGCTAGTAAAATTATAACTTCTAAACTTCCTTTAGTTTATGCTAGTAGCAGCAGTAGCCCAGTACCCAGTACTGGCCAGTAGCCTATGCCCTATAAGTTTTAAGTTGTAATTATTTACCAATCTCAAGTCTCAACAACTACTTAATTAGGTGGTGGTGGCGGGTTATAGATGCATAGATGACCTCACTTCAGGCCAGCCGTTGCACCTGGACATGGCAGAGGTTGATGAAGTTTCTAGATACACATTCCGTTTCTCCACCAGGGGGCCCTGGCGCTTGAAAATCTTTCTTTTTATGTTTGTTCATTTAAATCGGCAAGATTGAGCTGTTTTAAGATTTGGCTAACTGTTAAACAGATTGTTTACGCTAGACTGTCTTATACGTCTTGCCAGCACAAGAGACAAATCGAAACTCCCTACTTAATTAGGTAGTAGTTGTTGTGTTATTAAAATAGTGAGACTTTCTGCAATAATTAACAAAATATTTTTTCTTTCAGAAGATATTCATTGTAAAAATTATACGGTTGAATAATTTTGTAGGTATTGTTGATCTCTAGTCTAGGAAGAAGGTAGCTAGGTCTAAGAAAGATTACCATACCCTTCCATTGACTTTTAATCCCGAGTCCCGACTATCTCATAGCATTAAAATGTAATTCTTAAATTCTGGCATTCAAATATATTTTAATATAATATAAATACGACTTACTTTTGAGCTTATATATTTTAGGACTTCGGAGAATACCTACAACTTGCAAGCTAAAACCAGCTACAAAAACAAAGAACGGTAGGTACAACGCAACGAAAGACTTACTGGCGCTTCCTTGGCAGCGCACCAGTGTTGCCAGGTTTTTTCTTGGCGAGAATACCAGATTGCCTAGCTCAAAATACCAGAAATATACCAGAAATTCTATCGTTCAAAAAACAGACTAATACCTCCAAATTTAATAAAACTATTCGTCAGAAACGTTGGTTACAAAAAAATTATCTTATGTACTGTGCAGTTATCTGGCTTGTCGATAATTAGCCAAATTGAACACGTTATATTTTTTCCCCTCTGTTTGCAACATTTTGACCCTTTTCTTTTCCTGTGTTTGATTACATTGACACTTTTTCCTTTTTTTATCAGTGTCATTGTGGCACTTTTTCCTCTTCGCTCAACATGAGCAAGCCACGGAAACAGGTCATCTTCATTTTGCTTATTTTCGTACACGCTTGCATATTGCATTAATCTAACATTTCGGGTGTGATCACATGTTGCGGTTGAGCAGATAGCTTTTGGTCCGAATAAGGAACTCCAGTACCTTTGTTGAAATTTTATTCGTTTCTTGTTTTTCACATAAGTGACTTGTGGAAACACTTGCACCACGAATGCTTTGGAGACAGGTCATTGTAGACAAGTGATGCAGTAGGCAGCCAGTTCCCTGAATGGATGATAATTGTCAAGATCAGTGAAATATTGAATGGCACTCCAGAATTCAAGTGGCACTCTAGAATTCAAAACCACCAAACAAAAACAAAAATGGTTGAGCTTGCGTCGCAGAGATCGGTTCGACAACCTCACTCGTCCTAGGTCATATCATCAGTTCATCACTGATCAGTAATCAATCGAGGATCATCACTCTCATGCTCATATTGCACTAAGCACTTTTGTTAAATGTTAACAATTAAATTGGGGTTATTTTATCAAGCGGTAAACTTGCGGTTCTAAAAATGGCGGGAAACCTCTAGTCGCGCCACTCTGATGGTAACCTATATAATCCACGCCTACGTTGGAGGAAATTCAAACTTCAGAGGTGGAACTTAATGCAGTAAATTTGCAGTAAGTCAGAAAATACCAGAAAAATACCAGATTTAGGCAAATATACCAGATCTAAAATGTTCATACCAGACACCTTTTGAAAATACCAGATTTGTGAAATCTGGTATAGAAATATACCATCTGGCAACGCTGCAGCGCACCGCTTGGATGCCTAGCCTCCTAGGAACGTCGCATGCGAAAACTTAACCTACAATCGGAATTCATCCGTAACTGCGTAAAAATTTAAATCCAATCCATCAAACATCTGGAATCACCCGAAAGGACTCGATTGAACGTAAAAAAAAATATATTGTAGACATAGCTACTTTCAGTATTCGTTGATATATGCGATGCTGGCTTTAAGAAAGAAAAAGTAAGACACTTTCGGCAATTAAGTTTCTACTTTTTCGGCAATTAAGTTTCTAATTTGAGCGTTATTCAAATTCAAGAGCATGATAAAAATTATATTAAGTGCCGATTATTGTAAATTTCTCGAGTATAAGACAACAAACCGTTATGATGTGTACGGCAGCAGGCAATTCAGAGAGCTTATTCAAGTTAAAGCTTAACATTATTTACATGACAACTGACTAAGCGGAGGCTCGGAGCATCACAAAATCACCGTTTATTCAAAAACAAAAAAAGTTAATGTAAATCATTCTTTCTTGGCTCGGTTATAAGACTTCAACTATGTATTTTCTGTTCTTTTTTGAAGAATATCAGCAATTCCAAAGTCAGGCTTTGGTGGAAAAGCATATTATAAGAATGATCGCACTCGATTGCGCAATTACTAATAAAATAGAATAATCACACACATCTTCGAGAATCAAATCAATGGATCAAATAAAACAATTTTTATAGATTTCATTAATCAAAACGTTGCGCAGTATAAAATACGAATATGTATAACAAATAACACGAGAGTAATGATAGGCTCCGACCCAAAATGAAAGTATAGCAAAGATACACTAACAATGTGTGGCCTTTAGTCTCGGCTGTTAACTCAAAATACACCCACAGGCATTTCTGCCATTGAAATTTGATTTTGATATCTTGATACAAATTTATCAGCTTAAAAGTACGCTACCAACTGCGGTGTTTGGACGATTAGAGAGAAGAAACCATATCATAAGCACATATAAGATTTGAGTAAGCCATTCTCAGCTTTATGTACGTATAATACTAGTCCATATGAAATGATCCATTCCAAAATATTTATTACGCTCATGTGATGCTCCAACAAGAGAATTTGTGCCTTAAAACATTAAGAATCGAATAAGAAAATGAAGTTGAGCAATTTCAACGAGAGAATAGCGAGACCAAAAAAATATCATGGAAGATAATATTCCTTTTTGATTTCACAAATAAGCGCTAGCATAAATTCTGCACACTACCGTCGTTTCCGTTTCACTACTTAACACTTAAAAATCAACACATGGAATATAAGACCCTCTTCTTCGTTGAATGTCGCAAAACTTATCCAGAAGCGAAATTTGAATATGGCTGAAGAATTCTCACAAGATCCTTACAATTACTGATTTGGCAAGTGTTTAAAGGAAAGTCTCATGTGTAATGGGTATATAAATGTATACAAAAAATATGTCAGTCAACATAAATGTGTATAAAACTTAACAGACTAATGAGCAGCGAAATTGACCCAACAAAAGCAATGAAAGAAGCTGTCTTTTATGAGTTGCAAAGAATATTGCGTTATAACATTACAGCTTGAATGTATTCAAGTCGACGATGCATTGCAGGAGCAAGCAGCAAACAGGACATTAAAAACAAAACATGCAACAATAAATTTCTACACACAGGGTTATGTAGTAAAAAAATTAAAACGAACATTGAAGTAAATAAAGAGTACAGAATGACGCTAAGTATCTGTAAAAAGATGATAGTCAACTGTACCTCACACGTTTCTTTTAAACTAAACAAGACAAAAAAGTAAACAGCCTTGAAAAACACAAAACGAAAAATAAGTGCAGAGTTTTTGTAGGCGCGAAGTGAATGCAGCAATGCAAATATGAAACAAGTAGGGAAAATAAATGTGATCCTCAAGTTGTTCATGTAAAAGTTATGTTACTGAAACCATATTATGTATACCAGACCAAACCCATCATGTAACTCCGTAAGTACCAAAACATTTGAATCGTCACGAAAGAAATATGACAGCTCAACATGAACAAAAACAGTAAAAAAAACGCGAGCCATATTATACGCAAGCTTAGAAAATTTCCATTTGCAGGTGACAGCAGATAATTGTACACATGCACTGCAATTGTTAGGCACAATAATTTTTCTCTTATGTACACAAGATTCTGTGCTCAGCTCTAGCAGTTTGATAAAGTTAGCGGCGTAAACAGCTTCTAATTTCTATGCATCATTGACGCAATGAAGATGTTTCATTAAACGGGAATCAATCTTTTGCAATGAACAGATTATCATATATTCACGCCTTGAAATTGATTGAGCTCGTGACAAGAATATTTCTACTGTAAGCAAAACATTGTAACTTCATTAATATAAGAATTTCAGTATCGTAATTAATTGAACAAGTAAAATGAAGAAAAAAGACTAAAAAAAAGATAGCTAAATTCCGTGGGGCTGATGGAAGAGACATCCACCCCTCTGAGGTATCCACTCCACGGCCAACAATTCGGAATACAGCCTTCAGAATAAAAAAAAAAAGATGGCATACTTTAGCTAAAGCCTATAAATCGCCCTTCAACAAAATTGTCTGAAATAATGACGAAGATAATCCACGCGAAAATGACACAGAGAAACTATCTATTAAAGAGAATTTACAGAATACACGCTCTCCATTAAATTTTCATGAGCATATCCGATAACTTTGTGAAGCAATCAAAGACAGAATGGGCGAGTATGTCTACGCAAGCGAGTTGTGCAAGTCGCCATAATTCGCCCAACGTTGCCTTAACGCGAGCATTGTGAGTACTCATTCAGTAGGTGCAAGGTTCATTAGACGTCACGGCAGGAGCTCATCACAGTAACATCACATTACATGAGTAATGTGATAAATACACATCACTTAAGTTGAATATTAGTCTTTTTGTTGCGGCAGATCTTGAAACCTAAGTGATTAGGAACCTGACATACTGGCAGTGGCAGTCTTAACTGCTTACCACCAAACCAAAAAAAAGTTTGTTCATATATTCGTAATGCTATTCTTGCGTGAATACAGAAACAATTCAGTACATTTATTTTGAAGGCTATACCAGACAAATCCATCACAGATGCAAGACAATACATGCATTACATTGGACCGATAAAAAGGCACAAAAGTCATCAAAACAACACAGAAAGAGTAGCTCACACAATACGAAACATACATCAAATTGAACATTCATCTGAAGATATCATTCAATGTTGCTATAAATTTACTCATCTGTAGGGAGATGAAGTTTCTCAAGTTTATGAGGGAAAATTCGTTGGATCCTCTCGTAGTTTTTAATCTCCGATTAGTTTAGATGATCCATTGTATTTGTTGTTTCATATGCATAACTCTAAAAATGAAAGCAGTCACTCAGACGACAATTTACATTTCAGGTATTCGGGCATACAATCAATAGGATACTCCATAAGAATTCACGTAAAATAGGTACTACGTGGAGATGACCAAGTCTCTAACTAACCAAGGCTCTAGAGATGACCAAGTCTCTAACAACTGCGAACCCAACATGGCACATCTTACGACTACATACACCAGAGGCACTAGGCAGCTTACATGTCTATTCGACGAGTCACTACACAAAGCCTAAAACACCCATGAACAGAATACGCAACGCTCTTCACCTGCGAAAACTGAAAAAATAATCATCAATTATTCACGAAGTTCAAACCAGAAAAATCAGCGGCTCGCATTGGCCTAAGAAATTTATAATGGCAGCATAACATACAAGGTATGAGGGGAAAGAATCATACCAACTATCCAGACATCTCAGTTCTGCAGAGCCGTGAGTATTTTATTTAAAAACTCGAGGAAAGAAGTGTCAGTGCTGCTAAACCTGAAACTGAAGGAAATATTTGCCGCATTCTGAAGCATGCCATTTATCTGGCGAGTGAAGCATAACAGCATGGAAAGATATACTGAGCACTTCGAGAGCAAATAATACAGAAGAAATTATAGGAGAGACACATTAGACACGAGCAATCATTTTCAGCCCTTAGCATGATAGTCACTCGCACTAGAGACCTAGAATCATGGTTTAGTTATCTAGAGGTAATTAGAACGATACCGTACATATGAAAACTTAAATCTCTTTAGTAAAATATATCTTTTATAGTTCATAAAATGCCTAAAGACGAGCTTCCACAATAAACAATCGAACACAAGAAATTAACAAGGCGATGAACGACTACGTGACAGAGATGGACGGAGCATTTGAATGAAAAGATATCTTCTACTACACGCAAGCTCGAAATTGACACCATAACATCTGCTGGTTGCGCTAGACAAGTGATGACGCGTTTCTGTCCTGACCACAAGTCTGTGACCTGAAGAAAAATTAGACACCTAATCTACAATTGATTGAAATTGCAGGCCCTATTTCTGTATTTTTTTGAGTAGCCATAATTTTTTCTAGCTCTACACTTTAGCGTTGCGATTCAAAGTCTCTATCCCGCAACCTACGTGAATTTTATTAAGCAGCATTCATCACTTCACTTGATTAGCATCAGAAAGTGCACGGCTCAAAATGTAATATCCACTAGTCTCTTGAATATTTCTTTGAAATTGACAAAATAAAATTATTACCATTGATAAGATTCAGCCAGCACTTTAGGCTCACTTTCTCATTTGCTACTAATCACAATCCATCAGCGCCAATTCCTGCTAAAAAATTTTACGCAAACGCTCATGTGAATACTACTGATCACGCACGATAGATGTATCGTTACTGAAAACATTTGCCATACAATTCGAAAACTCATAATGGAAATTCCAGATAAACGTTTACAATGACACAGTACATATTCATTTCAATGGCAGATGCTACATGGCAACTTCATCTTCATCCATAACAGTTCTAGAGTTTGTGACAATTATTTGAGGGGAAGTTTAGCCTCGTAAAATGTTACTTTTGTTAACGACTTTGAGCCCGTCGAAGGCAATGGGCTGATCTTTGCACTTGTCGACGACGAACTGCGTAAAGCGCTTCAGGAACTTGGGATACTCTCGCTTGAACACGGCGCGTAGCACTGAAGCCGGCGCCCACCCTCCAGGGTTAACTGAAATCAAATTCAACTTTAAAAAATGCAAGGAAACTAATGAGGCATTCTTCTTCATAAGATAATCAGAGTAAAATCTATGACCTGGGCCAGAGTAAGAAGTTGCCTGTACAATGTGTAATGTACACGAAGTATGTAGATAGTGACTATCAGGTGTGAAATTTGATTCCAAACCTTTAAAAACTGTCTCATAACGTTAATCAGAACTTCTTTCAACCAATTTACATTATGAATTGTTAAGCTATTGAACAGCAATGGTACCAAATTGTTGGAAAGAGATAGCAGAACTTGAATTGTTATGTACCTCAACCTTGAAGTTATGAACTATACAGAAGATATTTAACAGTGCTAGTAGGCTTATCTGCGCACTGTGTGGAGCTCAGTAGAGCTCATATGGGACAGTTACTGGACTCGAAGATATTCAGTGAGAGGAACAGATTTGAACTCAGGAGTATGTCTACAGATAAGATTATAAAACTGAGCATTAATTTTTAGTGAATTATATTTAGAATTTACATCATTTTAAAGATTGGTGGATGCTTAAGGGTTGAAGGTGAGGCACTCTTGAAACTTGAGTACTGTTGTGTAAACTCTGGTGGTCTCTTTCAGAAAATTGAAGTGAACTCACCAGCCGATGTGTAAGTGACCTTAACGATGAGGCGGTCTCTAGAGATCGTCTCTATAGTCTCTCCTTCTGCCAGGGGAGGCTCGATGTAAGTCAAACAAAGGAAACAAGTCCGCGCGTCTACGCGAACTCTGTTGGGGTCCAGCTGCGCAAATATGAAAGATTTGGAGGCGCACTAATAAACAGCATTCATTATAGACATGATTGGGAGAAAGTATGGAGTTAAAACAAGCCTCAGCCTCTGAAGACCGATAGAACGCCTGGTGGTATGGCCACCGGGCGAATGTCCAGTAAATCTCTGGTGCACATGTGACCCATCATAATCACTTCATCACATCAAAATCACAATACCGTCGGAGTGGGACGGCAGGATACTGACTATGGCGTCAGGGTGGGACGTGGACTTGTTGCTGACGAGCCAGGCATCGTAGGGCGGGTCGCTGAGTTTCTTGAGCTCAGGATGGTCGCGGTCGAGACGTCGCACGTGAGACCACACAAGACAGTCCCGCTGAGCTATGGGCCACACGCGCTTGTGGATCTGATGTATCACTATAGTGTTGTCGTCAATGCTGTCCAGGATGGTGAGCTGCTCCACAGTCACTGCACACACACAAAATACCAAGTAAGCTGTGCGGAATATGAATGTTATTTTGTCCAGGATGGTGAACTGCTCCACAGTCACTGAACACACAAAATGCCAGATGCGAAGCTTATTAAAAGAACACAATATATTGACCGCGATGGTGAACGGCAGATAGGTAATGTTAGTTGAAGAGCAGGCAAAATAGATCAAATGTCAGAACTAAGAGAAGAGTAAGAAATGTGCTCGCTGCACTGAAGTCAAAAGATATGCATCTTGAAAATTTAAGGGTTTAATTTGATATAGTTACTCATTCATATAATGGAAGATAAAAACAATAACATTATATCAATGTAATATGAAAATATATATTTCAAGAAATAATTGGTCTAAAAAGGTAGTAATAGTAGTATTATCAATTTGAATGGCATCGAGGAACCGGAAAATAGTGTGCCGTTCAACTGAGATGATAGAAAGAAATGAAAAATTAAGACTAAGATTATCAGGAGTCGATATACGAGTATTTCAATTGAGACACCAAAACATTTCTGCTGCTTCTCCACAGCCTCTGAATAATAGGCATATTACACCCCACAAGCAGTAACATCCTCCAAACTCATCCAACACCGCAGCATATATTCAAGGACCCACCATCCCAGTCAAAGCGCAGTTCAGGAGACCAGAAGTAGTGTGTCATCTCGTGTGCCGTGGCCCCACAGACTTTATGTATGCCCTTGCAGGGGTCCAGGATGAGGCCGTCCTCCTCCACCTCCTTCCTGAAGAGTTTCATTTCGCCGTCCTCGTGGAAGAGCATCCACGAACCGGGCTCGTTTGGGTCCACGGAGATCTTCTCGAGAGACAAGCTTAGATGTTCCTCCGCCATACGGTTGATCTGTGAGTAACGTTCAGTAAGTGAGCTGATACGAATTTATGCTTATAAACAAACGAAAACATTTTTCACGAGAGACAAGGTCGCAAAATACAGTAATTAAATTCACCAACAAAAACGATGCCCTAACAATGCGTCGAGTTCTCATCAGTTTGAAATTCTTAATTGACAGGTTCTCATGTAAATTAGCCTGCTTAATTTAAAACTATGTTATTATTTCCTTCCTGCGAATTTGGCTTTTCTCCAGTGATGTTACTTATACTATAATTTTTTGAGCTGACGATTGATGTGTTCTTTAAAACTTTTTTGTGAAAATTTGGTGAATTTGCTTTTCATTTTATTCGTTGTTAAATTCATAATGAGCTAAAAATTTCAGCAAAAAGCACAGGCACAAACTGAATTAGAATTACGGCTCTTCACAGGGAAAATGAATCTAGAATAAAACGAAAATATTGTTGCTGTATAGGTAGAGGAAATATATCGGTTGTTACTCAGATACATCACATTATATTATCATAAAAAGATTATAAACTAGTCTAATAATTTCAGTTCAGTTAATTTACTGTTCAGAAGAAAACTAAATTTGTGATACCGGTAACAAATTGAACGATGTCATGAGTTTATTGCAAGTCATTCTTTATGAATCCAATTGGATTTAACGCAATACAAAAAATAGCTCAAGCAATCGGGTTGAAACTGTACGCATGACACGTAATGGATTGCCACTGGAAATTAAGCACAATTGAAGTATAGACTCATAATGGAGGTCAATGATGTAAACTCAAGCACAATTGAGGTACAGATTCCCAATTTCAATGAAGCACAATTGAGGCACGGATTCCTAATTTCAATGAAGCACAATTGAGGCACGGATTCCTAATTTCAATGAAGCACAATTGAGGCACGGATTCCTAATTTCAATGAAGTACAATTGAGGTACGGATTCCTAATTTCAATGAAGTACAATTGAGGTACGGATTCCTAATTGAAAAGAAGCACAATTGAGGTTCCATAAACGAGTTCCCTCATGGAGCTCAAGAGAAGACTCACGTCAGGCCACAGCGGGTGCTGCACGGACGGTACGACGGACGACGCAGCGTTGCGTCGCTGCCTCAGGCGGTCCCTGAGCTCGTCCTCCTCGTCCATCTTGTCGAGCGTGGACTCGACCGCGTCATAGAACTCATCCTCCCCCATCACGGAGTGGGGGCCTTCCTGTGGGGGCAAGGGGGAGGAGCAAGGCTGGGGTTAAGAGGAGGTCACGGCTGAGGTGAGAGCTTAGGCTGCGGTTGAAAGGTCAGACTTGGGTAACGAGTGCATGTATTTACGTGTTAAATAAAGTGTAAATATTGAGCAGGAACACTATGGCTGTGACGTCAAATATAGTGCAGAAAACTTAATTTGTATAGTGATGAGTTATATTTACGACGAGTGATTAGATTTAAATATAGCTTATTTGTGTATAGAAAAATAAATGATTTTAATCATTATGTGAGAGAAGCAACTGCACAACAAATAACCTGCATAAACACCGTCATGGCATGTCTGATTTAAACGATTTCAAACCATATTTTGAAATTGATAATGTGAGGGTTCATCTACGATTTTAAAAACACTTCAAAATTAATTCAATTGTTTCTGTGCTTTCTAGGCAATATTAGGATTTTTACTAATTTTCCTAAGCGACACAATTGGTAACAACTAGTATTAATGATCAAAATTTAAGTTATTGTCAACAACCTTTGCTATTCTTGTAGCTCAATCTATACGTATATTAATGACCTATATATTAATCTAAATCAATAACCCAACATTGAGGTAACCAAGAACAACACACTAAGGGGGAGCCAACCAACCATATTCAGGCAACCATGAACTTGGAAACAAAGACGGTCACCATATTTAAAAAATCTATTCACCATATCATCCAGTAAAACGTACATGTTACTGTATATTGGACCATTACACAATCCACCAACATGTTCTCATTTGAGAAACGGTGCATTTTATTCGGAGTTTTCTTTGCCTTGAAATTCTTAGTGAACTTGCAATTTAAGCAGACTAATGAAATAAAGTCTGCTTAAGCAGACTAATGAACTTGCAATTTAAGCAGACTCATATTGAGGAAATATCTGGATGACAACAAGACTTAAGGCTGCCTACACGTGCTGTGTCCAGTTCTGAGATAAGGATGAAATTCAGTTACTAGGATCAAGTTGCTGATAATAAATAGTTCCATACATGATAATACACACCTATATATAAATATTTCTGAATTATTTCTTATTCAGATAAATATTAATATTAGAAACTGTCAGCCAAAACACGTGAGGAACACGTCACCTCGTAGTCAGGACCGCCGAGCATCATGCCTCTGGCGTCAGCAGGGACGGTCACTCTAGGCATGCTGCCGATACCCACGGCTGCCGCACCCACCCCTCCACCAGACACTCCACACTCCTCCACCTGCACACAGTGAGAACTGCTTACTCTTCAAACTATGGACATGGGCGAGGAAATTTATCCAGCACATCAACCCGCATAGCAAGATATTGAAACATCAACCCGAAAAATGGAAGAGGAAATTTAAGATATTGAAACATCAACACGAGAAATGGGAGAGGAAATTTAAGATATTGAAACATCAACACGAGAAATGGGAGAGGAAATTTAAGATATTGAAACATCAACCCGAAAAATGGAAGAGGAAATTTAAGATATTGAAACATCAACACGAAAAATGGGCGGGGAAATTTAAGATATTGAAACATCAACACGACAAGTAGGCCGATTTGTGTAGGTATGTTATTTCAACCCCTCAATCCATTAATTTTGATCAACACGCTAAACATCACTCTTCCAGCTAGACATAGAAGGGAGGTGCATTACAATCAAGTGCAAGAATACAGAAAAATAATTCATAAATTTTACGACTTTTATCAGTCGAAAATTTGTATAAACCACCGATCGGTCGATTGCTCGGGTATAAAGAATAACTAAGGTTTATGGGTAAAAGAAAGTTATGCCAGTTAATTATAATGCATGAGAAAAGGAAAGGATGGCGAGAGACATTCGAAAGAAAAAGACAGTTATGACGTATAATTAATGCTCTTAATAAGAACTAATAGGTGACAGTTAATTTATTCATTTTAAACTAATTGCTGACGGTTTATTGAGCAGACTTATAAGAGTTATTATGATGGTTATTGCATATGTACCTGTGCCTTGTATTGCTGCACTCGCTCCTCCGCACACTTGCGTCTCTCCACCTCCTTCTCTAGGCGCCTCTTGTAGGCCTCCTCCCGCTGGCTCAGGATCTCCACGCACTGCGCCAGCGTCTGCTGGATGCCTGCTGTCGTCGCTTGAACAACATCAAAATTGCTAATATAACACACAAAAAAACAATAGTACCTCGAAAATTTAATAAAGTTAGTCTTCAAAAGTTAATTGAGACAATAACATTACAAACACTGTGCCGGCCTCTGCTGGATGTCTGCAGTTGTCGACCAAACATCAGTAAATTTCTAATAATTACAAAAAATATAACTCAGTACTCACTGCAGTGAGTGACTGAGAGCGCATTTTCTTGTCGACAAAAACATGAAGTCACGGACGAACAGACAGACGGACATGGCGAGCACAATAGTGCATTTTTTCATAAATGAAAAAATGCGCTAAAGAGTCCAAAATCTTTCTAGTCATTGCAAAAAACAAATGAAGGCATCGAAATTACATGAATAAAAATAAAGGCTACATGGTAGGGAGGGTACCTTGAAGGTGAGAGCCTCGCCCTTGAAGTCGAGCACAGAGGCCCCGTACTTGTCGAGCATGTCTGTGGTGAGCGTGACTTCAGGGGCGACCGGCAGCTCCCCTTCTGCAGTGACAACGTCGCCACTGTCATGGCTGCCGTTGCCTGGAAAATACAGTAAACTTATTACAAGTCAAGAAAAATGAGGGTGCTGGATCGAGCATAGAGTTTTTTTCCATGTCCATGTCACTACAGGTTTGCACATCAACTTAATTGTTCAATGCTCGTATCTATTAAAGATTGTTTATGTGATTGAAGCCTGGCACCGCTAATTTAAAAAGAAGTTGAGACCCCTGTCCACAATACCTATCGCGTCACAATATTAATTGGCAATTTATTTTTAATCGTGGAATTTCTTGTTAATTTTTTACTTAGGAAAGTGTAAATTTTGTTCAAAAGAGAAACACAAGTTTCTTTTACATTTTAAAACATGACTCAAAATGTGGTTTCGTTCGTTTCGCTCATATAATTTTCAAGCCACACTGTTCAAAGAAATACCCTAAAATTTCGGGCTCTAAGCCAGGAACAAATTGAGAAGCAGTTGCAGTGGTCACAACCATGGCATCACCAAGCCAGCAAATAAAGCACTTACAAAGCAGGCTTTTATTCTTCGACAGGTCAGAGCAGGCATCAAAGAAGGACTGCAGAGCATCCATTTGTTTGATGAGGATATCTCTGTACGTCTCCAGCTCGGCAAGTTTGTCGCGCAGCCCTGAAGAAAATGGCATACAAACCAACACGCTAATAAATATTAAACAGCAATATTGAACAAAGTTCGAGATTTAGGCTTAAGAGAAAATCAAAATAATATCTAGAGCTTATTTATTTGCGGTCAGAATGAAGGGCATAACATGTATCACAGTGCATCAACAAAAACAAAAAAGGTTCATGTACGGTATTTAATGAAATATATTTGACAATTTGTAGTAAAATGAAAAACAATTTACATTACACTAAATCAACAAAAAAGGTTAATGCCTTCAGTGGCTAGGACAATCTTTAGCTTAAATAGACGTAGATTCAAACATGAAAATATACAATAACTTCAAAAACATAAGAAAACAATTTTTGGCAGGCAGTTAGTCAGAATTCTTACCACCAACACTGCTGTATAGCAGTAACAGACAATAGTTCTGAATGAAAAGATCACGATTCCTCAGACCCAAAGGATAATTTAACACAGTACAACTAACGATGGCATTTCTTGGATGAATGTCAGCCCTTCCAATGATGTACCATGAGCCAACAAGTCAGTTGGAACAACCAGTACCAGTATGAGATGAATGAGCGAGAACATCATGTTTTTGTCAAGCATTTCAGATACCATAGATGGACTGAATAAGAGAAATATATATATACTACTAGAAATCAAGCTTTAAGCAACCAGGTGGCACAATTATCACATTACTAACACAATGAAACAAAAAAAAGAATTTATATTAAAGAGCTGGTTGAGTTTTCAGAATTATATAATAGGGAACAAGCTAATGAGAGATATCTGTTGGATTTAAAATATATATTTTTTAAATTTTAAATAATCATTCTCTCAAGCCACCTTCAACTTTAAATTGAAAATAAACTTACAAATTAGAGCAAAAATTCAAATCATTATAAGATTAAATAGTGACACTCTGAGCCATGAGCCATGAACCTGAAATTTTAACACAATTGATTGTGGAATAGGAGTTACAAAAAAAAAAACAATGTTAACAAGATGAGCATGCCATTCTGTTGTATTCTGAGCAGGGGTTGCAGAGCATTAAGGCAGTCAATTGCAGCAACTCAATGTGGTCACGACGTGGGTATAACCTACCACCTTTTGATCCCCAAGCTATCAGTAAAGCTAGTATGGTTAACCATTAGAATTACCATAGACATGCCGTAAAATGGGTTACCTTGTACCATTGCTGTGTTACTTGGACCATTTTTATTGCTTACCTTTTTGTGAGACAAAAGCCATATAATAAATAAATAAATATATCTCTCAATTGCATTCGTAGGTTATCTCATGGTACTTCTAGAGCCATTAACACAATTTTTCTAAGGCAAGAACTTTTTGAGTAGTACTATATTTCATTTTCTTAAATTTCAAAACGGTCCAAGTCACCCCATCAATGGACCACATTACCCCGTTTTACAGTGACAGCTCATTTCCCCGTGTTAGAAGTTGAGCAGCTTCAGGCGTCACAACTGGCCAGTTCTTACCGTGCATCTTGAGAGCGGCACTTGATGGAAGGGAGGCATTACCATCACCCTCCTTAGAGAGCCTGGGAGGATGAGATGCTGAAGCTTTAAGTGGACTACCTTGCCCACCTTTGGAACTTTTGGCTGCTGCTGCTGTGACCGAGTTGGACGAAAGAGACACTGTACTGCCGTGACGGTTGAGGCTTTCGTTCTCCTGCATAATACGTAAAAATTTAATCCATTTGGCATTTCAAAGACTAAATTAAAATTAATTGAGTTTTTTTCAAGCCGGAACAAGAATTTTCAGCAAAACACTGAATAAGAAGGAGCTCAGGTGTGGTAACTAACCTTGTGTAACTCGAATGCATCAACCCATTGATGCTTGACATCACATCTCTCAGTGCGAAGATACCAGACACTGTCATTCAGGCACACATCAAATCTGCACTCATCAATTTCATGAGCCTGCAAAAAATTAGCAATAGAGACATAAATATAGTAGAAAAAAAAATGGTTATCAGCAAGCAACAACAATTGTGTCAGGCACCAAAATAAAAGAAAAAAATCTGGTGAATAGGCAAATTGAAATGTTAAATGCAAAGTGAACTTCAAGTAGCATGTTCTTAATGTTCTTTAATAGTATGTGAATATTGAGAGTCAAAGAAATAAATCACAAAAATTATATGGAAAAAAGGCCTCTTGGATTCTTCAGCTGTTTATATACAGGTAGCAGAAAGTATACCTATATTAGGATGACTATTTCTTATGAACATTTATATACTTCACTGTTGCTTGTCCCTCTAAACTAGAATTAAGTCAAATTATGATGAGCCAGTACCTTGACTATAGCTTGTAACTAGGTACTGTATTTATATTCCTTATTAGTATTTGTACCTGTAGGTAAGTATTAATCATTTAATTTATGATGAACCAGTACCTTGACTATAGCTCTAGAAACACTGATGGAACCACGGCAGCCAAAAGAAGCATCACCCTGGCTGCGGTAGTAGCTGAGTGTGCCATCCCGCAGAACAAAATATCGGTCTTGCCACCCATGAATGTAGTTAGTCCACTTTGATAGCACACCCTGAGATGGTTCAAAAACACAAAAATAGGAAAATTAGGTAAATGGAGCACTTCATTCAGAAAATTTTTTAAATGAAGAAATACAAGTTACATGAAATGTAGCTTCAAAGATGACCCTGCCTAAAGTTCAGTAATTAATTTGCTTATTAGTTTATTGCCAAATATTTCATGATGTTGCTTCTACAAAGGAATTCACAATGCAGATAATTTGGTATCATCCACTGAATTAAACAGGTATACAATAGAAATCTTTCAAATGGAAAAAAATAGCATCCACAATCAGGCTAACATAATATTAGCACAGACTTAAGTGAATGACTAAGCTGTTCACTAATTGATTCTTGAGCACTAATTGTTACCTGCATCACAGGAGGATTGCGGAGATTCAAGTTCTTCTCATCATCACTGTCATCCTCTGACAGCTGAGTAGCAGAGGCAATGTCTGTAGACATGGCTACCTATTTACATATGATAAGGAAGACTTGTGGAACAATGTATAAATGCTAACAAGGTATATATATATATAGATGACTGAATTTTAATTTTTAGTTGAGAAGCACTCATAAGTTGTCTTTTTATATTCTACAAAACCATTTAACTGAAGTTTCTCTGAAAAAAATAGGAAATTACATTGAATGGCCATTCTGTTTATTTACTTAGCACAAAACAGTATCATGCTTATAGCAATTACCCCAAGGACAGTGCATGCTGACAGGGCAATGGCTATGCAGTTTGTGCAGAAAGAGTTAAGAAATTTCACTTTTAACAGAAGCTTACAAAAGTTGAAGAACTGCAATTCAGCAAAATTTGATCACATTTTATGAAGTACAATAGGATTACAGTACCTACTTCAAATATTTGTGCAACCTTCCATTGGAATATTCATATAGACATCATTAAATACTTGTCTTCAGCTATTAGGATTGAGATTCAAATACAGATTGAAACGAGGAATATATCTACCTCTAAAACCGCATGTACAGCTTTGCTATCATTTTTTAACGAAATTACCGCTGCATGAATTACCTCTTATTTAATTGTTAATAACAGTGTATATTATATATATTATTGTGTACACTTTTATAAAAGTGTGTATTATTAAGTGTGTGTGTGTATTCCCAAAAGTGCCTATTTTACCATTTTATTTCAACAATAATCAGTCTTAGCCCTAATTGCTTCAGGTTTTTGAGTCACACTACAAACTTGTGTGGCAATGATTTTTGCAAGCTCAGCTCATTTAAGTAGTATTTTTTAGATGTTCTTCATCTTACATGCACCACAATTATTATACCAGGCATTGACTCATTAAAGCCTATTGGCAACTTTAGTAGCCACCTCAAAAGAATGGATCTTTCATTAATAATTTAAATTAAATTTCAGTTTTGTTGTACTTTTCTGTATCATACACATTTCATAGACATACAAAACAAGAATTGTTTTGTTTGGTCACTGACGTCAGTCAGTTGGCGTGGTATTGGCGAAATCATGAAAATTTTCTGCGCAAGTTGACGTAATATTTTTTATTTTAGAACATATTAATTGCAAAAATTTGTCTTATACGACTAGTGAATGTATTTGAGGGAGGCATCACCAACACGGTATCAGATTTCGAATCCCACGAGATATTGGAAGCGCGACAGATTCTGATGAGCTCAGTATATCGATTGGCACTGTGATGGAAGGTGTTTTGTGTTAGGTTTTTTGATCCATTTTCTTATGTTAACATGAGAATATCCACTGTGCAGGGAATGGGTAAATATTGCAAGATATTTGGTGATGCTTCAGCAGCAAAATTTATGCCTTCAGAAGACCCCAAGAGCTGGGGTAACAAAGACCATCACTTTTTTTAAATTACATCAAAACTATGAGAGGCAGGAGCCAGCAATTTATGGTGAGTAAAGCTAGAGTATAGACCTGTATTTTACATGTTTCAATTTAAGTTTAACTTATCTAGTAAAAAAAATGGCATCATTTTGAAAAAAAAAAGTGGTCAAAGTTACCCCAGTTTACGGTACATGTTATGCTTCTTATTTCAAGTGCATAATACAATAATATACCTAGTTATGTCACTATTGATGAATATTGCAAAAAATAACATCTTTACTATGTACCTTTGCTTACAAATACATGAAAAACTGCCCATGATTCAATCCACAAATACAAAACTGATCACTGATGCAATAAGCTGAGACATGAAAACTCCTTCCATTGCAAGCAGGAATACCAACCAAAGAAAAACATAACAAAGAAGGTAACAGGGACCTGGGACACCAACCATCATTATACTAATGTGAAAAATTGAAAGATACAAATTTTTCTATATTAAAAATTATCAGTAACTGACATTCAACAGAATGGTTTAAAAAAATAATAACCTTTGTAAATGTTATACATGCATGCATGCAGAATGCATGTGCAACAGACAAGGTGGTGGAAATCTAAAGATGGTTAGTGCCTTAGTGGTTACTGGTTAGTGGTATAGTTCTCATTACGCAATTGGTGGGTGAGGTAACTACAGCGCATTAACTGCAGATAAAGCTCCCGAACTTCGAGACGAAAATTGAGCGAAAACTTTATGTGATATATTGTGAGCCTTCTAAAGTTTTAATAATGAAGAATTCACAAGGTTCACAGAATCTAAAGGTTTGAATGCTTAATTTTTTATGTACTCTAATCTAGTCAGTCAACTGAGTTGTGCAAGTGTCATGTTGTGCATTGCCTTTTCTTCGATAAGTTTCCCCAATTGCCAATGAGTTTATCCTCAATTTGAAAGCTGATGTAACGAACAGGTGCAAATGCAATAGGCCTAAATGCTTTTTATATCTAATTTGAAACCTTAATGTTCAGAGTATTAGTATACTATTTCCTTCTATAGAATAATAGATCTCTCTTGCACATCTGTGAGTGACACACGCAATTAACAATGTTGGGAGTGGGACTGAGGGACTGGGACACTTTTTTTAAGTGAACCACAAATCTTAGAGATAGAATTCCATCCTGCAGTCTGCACCCTGGGAGAATATATTACCTATACAGAATTCCACACTTGACCCCATCAATCATCATCATAGGAGCCTTAGGAGGTAATTCATTTGGCAGAAATCTTATGCATCGTGGCAAAGCAGAAACTTTTTAATCTCTCTCAAGTTCATTTTTGAGTTCTGTAAGTAGACCTGTAAAGTATGTATCCTGGATACCAGACTTATCAAGTTATCATACATAAGAAATTGGTTTAAATCTCGAGTAAATGAGGGAATTAAATTTGAATTTTTTTTTTAAAGGCCTCCCACACTCACCATTCCAACAAAAAAAAAAGGAATTGATTGAAGGCACCCTATCATTGAATTTGAATTGATTCAAAAAAATTTCAGGTTTGTCACTATGAATTATTCTTGTATATCCGCAAATGGCAGGAAACCTCTGGTCGTGGCCCTTAAGTTAGCTAGATGTTTTCCACACTTCCTGGCAGGCACTACAGCCTTACAGTTACAGGCACTTAGGCATTATTTTAAACTGGGTTGTGTGGTTAGAGTTTGGCTTTGAAGCAGGTTCTGAAGAGTGAAGAAGTTGATGTAGATTGTAGAACAGGTTTGGCATAACTGTGAGCGTGAAGTCTGGGCTTTATTTTTGGTAGGTCTTCCTTCCTGTTATGAGCCACACATTTAGGATGAAGTAGGTTTTCGGGGAATTTTCCTGCGTATTTTGACTTTTTTAAGCCATTGCTGCGCACAGTTGGCACAATGTAATCAAAATTGTCTCTCTTCACGCACGTGTTCACGCAATCCCAGCCATCAATTCTACATTGCGCTGCCGCGCAAGAGCAGTTTGTGGAGGAACAGACGTAATACTCAGTACAGTATGCCTTTAATTATCTTTCAATAATATATGATTTTTCTTGATATGGAAATTTGGTGAATGAGAAATCTAGAACTTGATTTTAGAAGACATTTTTTCCAAAGTCATATGGCAACACTGAACACCATCTGTTTACATTTCATATGTATAATAGCCGCAGTTCACGATTACCGCACATTCCATATCCGACAAGCGGAAGAGTCAGAAATAACCTGGACATGTCTTACATTTAAATTGTTAGTTCGACTTGCGTAGTTGATATAAACTTTGATCTTTGATGACCAACGAAATATAACTTTTTAATAGGGAGACTTCATGTTTATTATACTACAAGTAATGATCTTTATTTAATTAGAGCCATGTTGAAATGTTTTTTTTTTTAAGCCTGCTTCTAGATCATTAATGTTTTTATATAGGTACATCCTCATATTGTTAGGGACGCTCGCTGCTGCCATCAGATTTTAAAATGTAAAAGTTGAATAGATACAGATTTGTATGAATAATGCCATTCAATATCATTAGCTACATTAAATTGAGGGTGAAACATTAGAATGGCAATGTTCAGTTTATCTGAAGCAACCTTTACAAAATTAGCGTCAAACAAGCAAACGGATGTCATGTCAACCGGAACTGGAACATCATGGCTGAGAGTATTTTATGCAGCTAATGAATTTCACAAACTTTGCTGGAAGTGAGAAAAAAATGTGAGATTATTGAATTTTTGAAAAAATGCGGGATAATTCAATGAAGGGTGGTAGCAGAACTGCAATCTTGATACTCTATGGCAATTTGTGCTATGATAACCTACGTTACTATTTTCATATGATAGTTATAATTTTTGCACATTCAAAGTACACATGACATAACATAACGCACCCAGATTTGGAAACCATAATTGCTCAAATGAAGCAAAAATAAACGACAGACCATTGACTTATCATGCAAATATATATTTTCATATTTTGTATCACATAGTTTAATTATGCTCTGTAATTATGCCGTATTGACCTAGTTTGTATAGTCCATTTATGCGCATTGTTATTAGTATTAGGTATTGATCGTGTCAATTTTGCCGGCCAGGAGGATGTTGGGATTTGGGAATGTAGTGACGTAGTTGATGACACTTTTTTACTTTTTAAGCATCCTTCTCACATTAAACTCTTTTTTGATTACCTAAATTCGCAGCATAAATCTATCAAATTTACTATGGAACTGGAATCTAACAATAGCCTGTCCTTCCTCGATTGCAATATTACTAAATCTAATGGCTGTTTTCAAACTTCTGTATACCGAAAATCGACTTTCACAGGCCTCAGTACCAGCTTTTTTAGCTTTTGCTTGTTTCGATTTAAGATTAATGGGATTCAAACACTTTTACACCGAGGTTTTCGTATTTGTTCTACTTACAATATTCTGCACGCTGAATTCGAATTTTTACGCAATATATTTTCGCTTAATGGATTTCCGACTAATCTGGTGTTTACCCAAATAAAGAAATTCATGTCCAAGCGGTACCATGAGGTTGCTCCCGAGCGTGACAATAGGGATGTTGTTTATTGCTCTCTTCCATATTTCGGCCCTGCATCCAAAACTATGTCAAGAGAGCTAAAACTGTTATTTTCTAAGTATTTTGCAAATGTTAATCTTCGTGTCATATTGGTCAACCATTTTAAAATCGGTTCTTTTTTTAGGTACAAAGATACTCTCCCACTGCATATGCAAGCGTCCCTAATTTATAAATATAGTTGTGCACAAT